TATTCTACAACTATATAGGCATGAATAAAATTAAACATCTAATGCATACCTATTTCTCCAAGCTTGATAGTTTTCTCCTAATTTTCTTGATTTTTTCTTCTCCTACTTCTTTTTCTTCCTCTTATCTTCTTCCTTTCTTCCCCTTTTCTTGAAATTTTAGTTGTTTACTCCTTGTTTTACTCCTTGGTTGTGGAAAAGATGGAGTATTTTTGGGTGTTTCTTTGGCATTGGTTTATGTCTAGTTGTTAAGGGTTGTTGGTGAGCTTTTTGGTGTGTGGTTTCTCCTATTTATACTAGTCTCCACCTCCATTCTCCAATCTTCTAGATTTGTAGATATTTCCTAAGATATTTTAATAACATAGTGATCAGGTGTCCATTTTGTAGATATTTATAGGACTTTCTAGAATTTTCTTGAATTATTTAAGTATCTTAATGATTAAGTTTCCAATTTATTTAATAATTTGGGAGATGTCCACTTTCTAGAATTTTGTAGAGTTATTTAGTTATCTTAATGATTAAGTTTTCAATTCATTTTAATCACATGGTGATTATGTGTCCCTTTTTTTTGTAGAAATTTATAGAACATCCTAGAATTTTATAGAATTATTTAAATATCTTAATGGTTAAGTATATAATCCATTCTAGATTTCTATTGTGTAGAATTTTATAGTACTTTCTTGAATTATTTGAATATCTTAATAGTTAAGTTTCCAACCCATTTAATTATTTGGTAATTAGATATCTACTTTGAAGAGTTTTGTAGAACTTTCTAGAACATTGTAAAATTACTAAAGTATCTTATAAATTAATTATAATTTTGAGAAACTAATATCATCATTAGAATCTTGACCATTAAAATTATAAACTTTTGTCTCTTGATCATCTCCTAATTATGTTAATTAATATTAAATAAATTAGAATTTGTTTGTGTCATAATTTAATTGGTTGAGACTTGTATTTTAATTTCACCTAACTATACATTTTTATTAATTATTACAAGTATACTATATTGATGATAAAATTATTTATAACCTTTTGAACATTTTTCCATAGTTTTCTAGCTTAAGGTTTTAGCAGAATAAATTTTTTTAGTTAAATCCTTAGAGAATTTCTATAAATTTTAATTTAGAGATTTTCTCTCTTAATTGTATTTATTCTTAATCTACACTTAATAAATTATTATTTAAATTACAGATTACTTAAATTTTCTTAAATTAAGTTTCTTAGATTTTACAGCATGCTCACAACGTTGTTCGAGAAATAGTCAAATTAGATAATAAAATATATGTTATTGAATTTAAAAAATCTTGTTAAATAATGCTACATAAATTTCATTCACAGTAACTTACATAATATTTAATATATAATAATTTACAGAAATTATATAGATAAATAGTTACAAAATTTAGGATGTTACACTAAGTATCCCCGAGTGTAGACTCGTTCTCCTGCAAAATCGACTAGGGGTTCTGTGTGTGGTTGAAGGAGGGAATGGGGGATATCTAACCTTAGGAATGTTGGCCAGTATAGGACGTCAGCCGAGCTTCCCTGGTAGATCAACGTCTTGTGGACCTCCCAGTTAGCTACTTCCACCGTGATGACCATGGGGTCGTCCTGGTTTGAACAAATGCTAGTGTAGTCGTCATCCGTGAAGGTGATGGGTGGCGTGTTGCGGTGCGGGGTCGAGGTGTCTTTTACATGCTGAGTTACTAGAGCCTCCCACTGTGAAGCCACCTGCAATTGTATTGATGACTCCACGTAAGGGAGTTGTTCCTGTATCATGCAGTGTTTTAAAACCTGGACCGACCCGGCCGGTCGGACCGGTTGGACCGGGAACCGGTGGTCCAGCCGGTTCGAATCTGAAGTTGGATCGGTTATGCAGTCGACCCGTTTCAAACCGGATTGAACCGGTCAATTTTCCGGTTCAACCGGTGAACCGGTGGGTCAAACCGGTTCAACCACTTTTTTTTTTTTTTTTTTTTTAAATTTTTTTAAGGGACCATAAATCACAAAAATAATAATGAAAATTGAATCTCTTAATGAAAAAGCAAGGAGTCTTATTAAATATAACAATGACTACTTGTTCTAATATATTTGTTTGCAATATATACAACTTAAATAACTTTTATAGTATATTATTAATTTTAAATTATATATTTAATAATTCAATATCTATGTAAATATTACATATATTATTTTGTGATATTAATTGCAAGCATATTATATATGTACATATTATTTATATTTTTAATTTGTATTAATATACCGTTTAACATGTAATTTTTTTATGTATTTTTTTACAAAATAAAAATAAAAATATTTTTAAATAAGATAGAAAAATTTAAATTTAAAATAAGATATGAATTTATTAAAATTTATAAGTATAAATATATTTAATATGAATATTTTTTAATAAAAATAAATAAAAATCGAGTCATGCGGTTCAACCAGTGATCCACCGGTTCAACCTTTGACCCGCTGACCCAATACCTTAACCGGTTCGATGACCGGTCCAGTTTTTAAAACTATGGTATCATGACTTACCTCGGCCTGCACTGCTCCGCCGATGTTTTGCTGAGATCCGGAGGGTTGATCTATGCGAGTGCCGGAGCCTCGGCCTCGTCCACGTCCTCGTCCGTGGTAGCCTCCTTTGTGAGATTGCTATCGTTGGACGTATTGCCCGAGGTGCCCTCCTTGGATGAGTTCCTCGATGCGGTCCCTGAGTGTGCGGCATTCCCCGATTGTTTGACCATAGTTTCTATGATACCGACTCTGCACTACTGGGGTTGTGTCTAGGATGTCTACTCGGGGTGCGTTCAAGGGGTTGTAGAAGTCATACCTCCCTCCCTTGTTCACCCTAGCCTTCTTGAACTGGCTGTCATTGGTGACTTTTACCTTATCTTTGTGGCCATGGTCTGGCTTTCCCTGTGGTTTCCCACGAACTTGGTCACGAAAAGCAATGTGTTTTTCTATCTGATTGTACCCCGTAGCTCAGGCACGGAGTTCGTCCATGTGCGAGGGAGGTCGCCGACAAAGGCTGTCAACAAAGGGTCCTGACTTGAGCACCATGAGCATGGTGTGTAAGGCGACCTTGGGGTTTAAGTTGCGGATTTTGACGGAGATGCTAGCAAAACGCTCCATGAATGTCCTCAATGGTTCGTCGTCGCCCTGTCTGAGGCTGGCCAAGGCAGCAGACGTGATGTGATGTGGTCGACTCGTTGCGTACTATGTCGTGAATCGCCTCACCAGAGTGTCGAAGCTATCGACTGATCCCGCTGGCAATTGAGTATACTAGGCGAGTGTCGATCCCTTGAGGGAGGTCAGAAAAACCCTACACAGGATAGCATCATCGTTAGTGTATAGGTTTACCTGCATGACGTACAGATCAACGTGCTCATCTAGGTTGGTAGTGCCATCATAACGGTCAATGTTGAGAGGCTTCCATCCAAAAGGAAGGGGTGTCTCCATGATGTCGTCAACAAAAGGATGGCGGCGAATGCTCGTCCTGTGTCCTGGAGCCTGGGCGGGTGCACTGCTAACTTCATGGTCTGACTTGTACGTCGGTACGTGCGATCGATGTGCAGTAGACCTATCGGTCGCCGCCCTGGGTGCAGTCAGTGCCTGGGAAACCGAGTGCCCTTCTTCCTCGTTTTAATTACTCGGTTGAGGGGGCTGATCAAGGGGGCGCTGAGGGAGCTGGGCGCGGATGCACTCATTCTCAGCTTGTAGCGCCGCTAAGTCGGCTTCGTGTTGGGCGCGGATGTTCTCCAGGTCAGCGGCATGTCGTTGTCGAATTTGATCAACCTTCTCGATCAGCTGTCTCAATGTCGCTTCTCCTTCCATTCTTGTTGTGTGATCTTGTTCGTTTGTTGCTTATCTACTATGCCTTCGGGTGAAAACCATAAGCGTGGCCAATAAGAGATGTCTTGATCGGCCCCACGGTGGGCGCCAAATGTTCTTACCGGAGATCGGTTGTGAGGGACGATCTACTAGGCAAGATTGGTGAGCCTCATTCGCTGGGTACGTCGGCTATTCCGGAGTGGGGGTGGTACCTGCAAAGGAGACTCCAATGCTAAAGTTAGTCTTTGTGGGTGTATGGGTCTCGTATATGTAATGCACGTACCTTAGTGTGAATTAGGATTTATCTGGGCCTTGGGCCTGAGGTCGGTTATGATCCCTTCAGATAGTAGGCCTTTGTTTTGGTCGATGTCTTGTAACGCTCATCCGATATCGTTTAGCGCTTTAGTGCTGAGTTCAAGCTCGGTTCCGCAATACGAGTAGTACAATATTATTTATTTTTTATATAAAAATCTAACTAAAGTAAAATAAATTTTAAAATATTAATTTCTTTATATCTCTCGTTTAACCCACTCAATCAAATAATTATAATTTTCATTTTATCCCCTTAACTATTTTTTATTGAATCAATTATCACATTTTTTTAAAAAAAAATGTTTGCTGTATTCTTCTCCATAAAAGGAAGTGTCACACATTTAAATTGAATTGACCTATAACCCAAACTTTAATGTTAGAAAGTTAATTTTAGTTGAAACATACATCAAGATGGCGACATGATAGATTAGATTAAAAAATATAGTTACACGAGATTAATAAATCCAGTTTATGATTATCCCTAAGAGATCAACTTTGTTACTCAAAATGATGATGAGATATTATTATTTTGAGACTAAATTTTCATAATTTTATTTTTAATATTTGAGATTAAAATATATGTATATTTTATAAATTATTATTTTATTAATACGAGACTTATTTATATTTCACCAAAGCTTAATTACTTATAATCACTAAAACACCAATGCATCGTACCATCGTAGTCAGGTGTTGTCTCTGAGATAAATGCCACAGAAAAATTACGACACTGGTTGTGGGTGTGGCCGTGTGGGTCGACCTCTTGTTCCATAAATCATCAGAAATCTCAACCACCCAATTGCTTCACCTTCTTGGTCGGTCACCCCTATCATGCTACTCCATATAAAAAACATAACAAATAAATAAATAAAATTTAGAGTGACTAATGTATTTTTTAGATACGACAAATATACAAAATCCCTGGACCCTACTCCTAGTCACCGGAGAGTGAAAGCGAGGAAGCATCAACATCCTCTGGGGAACAAGACCACGTGCTAACCCTATCATAAAACGTCGTCGTACACGATTCATCGGGAAACCGCATCTCCCCCTCCAAGCACATCACCACCTGCCTCATACTGGGCCGCTCCTCTGGGCCGTCCTTGGAGCACAAGAGGCCCAATCGCAGCACCAACAAAGCCTGGCCCACATCAAACACGCCACCCAGGTTCCCATCCACAACCTCCCAAGCCCTCCCCACGCGCCACCGCTCCCGCACCCAATCCACCAGAATGAGCTCCTCCGGCAACGCCTTGGGCTCGAACGGCCTCCTCCCGCACGCCACCTCCAACAACAAAGCCCCAAACGCAAACACGTCGGAACTCGCCGTGGGCTTCCCCGTCCGCGTCAACTCCGGCGCCAAGTACCCCAACGTGCCGACCACGCGCGTGGTGTTGGGATTCTCCCCGTGTCCGTACATCTTGGCCAAACCGAAATCTCCGAGCCTCCCATTCATCTCACTGTCCAACAACACGTTCCCAGCTTTTATATCTCTGTGAATCACCGCTTGCTCCCATTCTTGATGCAAATAAACCAAACCCCAAGCCACGCCTTTTATAATCTTAAACCTCTCTTCCCAGCTTAAAATCTTCCGGGGTTGCTCGAATAAGTACTTATCCAAACTCCCATTCGGCATCAAGTCATACACCAGAAAAAGATCGCACCTTTTCCGACACCATCCTCGTAGTTGGACTATGTTCCTGTGACGTAACCGACCAATGGTCGCAATCTCCGACATGAATTGTCGCCACCCTTCCTTCGAATCTTGCGTGATTCTCTTCACCGCTACTTCTGTATTGGACTCCTGGAGAACCCCTTTGTAAACTCTTCCGAAGCCTCCGAATCCAATTAACTGTTTCTCTCTGAACCCCTTTGTCGCTTGTTTCAGCTCCTCGTACGAGAATCTATGAGGACCAACTTCAAGCTCCCACGGTTCAATAACATCGCCATTTCTCATCTTTCTCACAACATAAACCATTAACCCGGTTAGAACTATCATTACCAGGGTAGCACTAGAAACAATGACACCCAACACGGTGGCCTTTTTGTGATTATCATAACTCGGGAGCGATGGTAACTCTTCCAAACGAAGAGATTTGGCTTCTCCGTGGTTCATCTTAAAGCTCCAACCGAGGATGTAGTGTGAACTTGCAAGCAACCCCGTTGAAGCTGAAAAGCCGACGTACATGTTGTCGTGAAGAATGGGTGAGAGATCTAGGTGGCAAGACAAGATAGGTGAAGTGGGCTTGGACGAGGTTAAGGAAAGTCTAACATGGAATTGTTTCTCTGAGGAATTGTAATCCAGCCATGCTTGAATGACTTTACCAGACTTCAAGCTGAGGCTTTGCTTGGATGAGGCGTCGGTGGCGGGGACGGATTTGTTGGAGATGATGGTGTTGACGTTGACGCCGACGTGGTTGTTGTTGATGTCGTAAATCTCGTAGTCCAGGACGGTGTCGAACTCCACGGCGAAGAGGTGGTTGGAGGAGTTTCCGACGTCGTGGGGCTTGAAGAGGCCGAGGTACTGGCCGGAATAGGCGCCGGGGAGGTCCTTGCTGGGGGAAAGCGTGAAGGCGAAGCCGTGGCCACCGTGTTTGGGGTCGCGGTTTGTGATGGCGAAGGCGAAAGCCGTGGAGAATGAGAAAACGGCGCCGTCGCTGGAGTTTTTGAACTTGAGCGGAGTGGAGTAGAAGGCGTGGCCGAGTTGGTTGTTGGAGTTTGTGAGACGCAGGATGCCGTTTTGTTGGATTGATGCGACGCCGTTTGTGGTTATGTTGGTGGCGGCGGATTGAAAGCCTTGGAAGAGAAGCTCTTCGGATTTGGCCACGAGGAAGATGGAGCAGAGGAGAATGAGTGTTTTTGCCATAACTGTGTTGGAGCTGAACCAGAGTATTTTACGTTCAAAGTTTAAATATGTTTTACTATAATAATTCACCTTCTATTTAAATACATTATTTTGAATTGTAATGCTTAAATAATTTATAAAAAATAAATATTATATATGAAAGTTAAAATATTATTTATTTTAATACATTTTTTATATACTGAAACTCTGTATTATAATAAGAGAACGTTGGTGTGTGGGGTGGAATAGGAAAACGTGGTTCTTGGCTTTCACGTGAGCGCATAAATACGTACACGACTTAGGTTCAAACCACTCATGTCTGTCCGGTATGAAAGGAAGAAAAATTGGTGAAAACTGAAACTAAGGTAAATGAAAATAAAATAAATAGGTGATAATTGATAAATAAAATGAAAACAAAGATATTTCACGGAGAAGATATAAATAGGTAAATAAAAATGATAGAAATATAATAAAAATAACTAGTGGACTTTACATTTTTTTTACTTTTTTTATTTCTTTTTTAATCATATACATATTTCACTTTTTTTTCCCATTGAAAAGGGTAAATGATAATAACAAAAGTGTTTTTTAAATACCCAATTAATATGTTATACAACACTTAGTGAAAAAAGAAAAGAAAAAGGTATGATAAGTGATAAAAATAAGTGAGATAAAAAAAATGAGAAGTATTAATAGTGTTTATGAAAAGTAAATGTCTAGATTTCATTAAACTAATAATAATGGTAAGTTTAATTACATCTGTGTTTGGATTGATCACACACTATAACTTTGATTCTAACAAGAAGAACAAATTGGTAATATTTTTTTTATCAAAATTAAAGTTTAATTGTAAAAGTAAGTTCATTAAAAAATTCAATAATGGTATCTATGATTTAAGAAAGTGTGTGAAAGTAAAGAAAGTTGTAGAGAATAAAATAAGTAATAATTGAGGTAAAAAAAAATTAGGTTGGGAATTATATATAGAAGAAAATAAAGAAAAATTCTTTTCTTTATTTGGTTATATAGAAGAAAAAAAAACGTGTATACAAATGATATAAATATCTTAAATAAAGAATGAAATGTGATATAAATATTTAAATTTATCTCTTTGTACAAGAAAAAACTTGTTCCCCTCCTTTTTAGTACAAACCAAAAAATTGGATTGAACATAAACTTACGAGCAACTTTATCGGGTTTGTTCTTGAGTAACATTGTTTATGTAACCAAAAAAGCAAATACACTTAGCGTCCAATATGTTGTTTTCTCTGTTGGTCGTCATCTTCCTCCTACCCACCAGGACAACAAACCGTGTCATTACCTGCCTCTAAAATGCGTTTAAGGGAAACGAATTTTATTATAATAATAATAATGGATAAATTTCATATATCAAAATTTAAGAAATTAAATTTAAGTAATTATCAATTTAATCATGATTTTTAGTAGTTTGAAAGTAACTGAATTTGATTGAGAGAGTATTAATTAATTTATAAATTAAAATAAAATTAAAGAATTATTATTGAAATTTAAAGATAAATATTCTAGAGTTGTGATTCACTGTTCTCAATACTCCCAAAAATAAAATTCATAAATTAATAAATAATGTCGACAATTATATTTCTAAAATTGTTAATAACCATATGGTTCTAAGAAACTAACAATTTTTATCTTAAGAAAAACTTAAATTGATTGTAAGAATTTTATTCAAAAAAATAAAGCATATACACGTATAAGTGAATTAATAAATTAATTTAATTAAAAATTATGAAAATATCTTGATCATGCAAATTTTTCAACAATTCAATTATTTTAAAGTTTTGTTTATTAAAAGAGTTTAATTATGTAACTTTCAATTAACTAATGAAAGAATAAAAAATATTAAAATAATACAACAATATTAACAAGAAGAAAATCATGAATTCATCATTGGGAGTTCTCGAGGAACAATTACATCATAATCCTAAATTGTGAGAACTAGTCACATATGTTGTAAGAACCAATTAAACAAAAAGAAAAAAAAATTAACCATGATAAGAAGAATCCTTCCATGAAGGTTTGGCCTTTAGCCTCTTATAGAACCTTAATAACGAATAAAGGAGAAAATAAATTATAAGAGAAATGAAAGTTAAAAACTAGAGAAAATTAGATAAAATTTAGATGATTTCAATGTATCTTAGACGTCCCTATTTGTACTCAATCATAGCAAATTGAAGCACGATATCATGCATCGCAACAAGCATGGTCATGCTTAGTATCTAGGGCTTGCTTCATTAATAAATAGGAGCATGGGTGTGCTTAAGCATGACTAGGGTTTGCTTGGTGTTCTAAAGGAAGCACAGTTGTGCATATTGATAAGTACACTCGTGCTTCATAGTATAATCATTTATGATTACATGCTTCATTTAAAGCATGATTGTGTAGAAATTAAGCACAGTCGTGCGTGTCTTCAACTATCAAAATTATTTTGTTTTATTCCTTAATTGCATTGATTTCATTCTTTTTATATTTTCCTTGTTTGATGCACACATTTAATAAAAAAAATATTTTCAAAAATTTAATATTAATCAAGACAAAACAATAATAAACATTAAATTATTATACATCATTTTGACAATTTAACTCTAACTCATGATCATTTTTACACACTAAACTTCGACAAACCCAATTTATCTCTAGGTCTAACATTTATGAGTAGGGAAAAATAGGGAATGATAATTTCTCACTATCATTCATCCAATTATTTTAAACAAATCTTTTACCATTGTCACTTAACAGTTACAACATCATAATATTTTTTTTAAGTCTATAGATATGATTCACACAATATTTCAAAACTAAAATCTAAATATTAATTTTTTATACTAATCAAACATACATCATCATAATATAATATGCAAATTAGAGTATCATCGTAAGATTCAACATTTCTAAAAAGGTGACATGTAAATTAATAAAAGTTTACTATGTTTAGTAGATAAGAATATAAAAAAAATATAATAATTTTTTTTTCATATTGTTATAACTTATAAATAAGTCAGAATAAAACTTTCCTACCTTCATCGGTGAAAATATAATTTTATGTAATAATTAGTTATAGACATATTATTATTCCTAAGAAAGTTGAATAATATTAAAAATATTTGTAAAAAAATCTCATCAATCTTATTTTTGAGAACCAAAATCTTTCAAAGTGATTTAATTATAAATGAATAAATGCTTGTTAAATAACCAGAATCTTTCAAAGTGTTTTAATTAGAAATGAACAAACGCTTGTTAAATTAAGCTACCAGCGGATTTAGTGTTGAAAGTTGAAATAATATATCTACAATATCTTATATTCGAATCGTATTAATTTCATTATAATCTTTCACACGAAGAAAAAAAAAATATATTACCTAAATTGTTTTTTTTAATTAAGTAGCTAAATTAATCATTAATAGTTATCAAAGTTAAAGATTAAATTTACTTTTCCATAATATTAGAGACAAAATTAATTCATAATAAATATTAAATACAAAATTGATATTTTCTAAATATATTTTGAACTTTATCTTTATGTATTAATTGTAAAAATCTAATGTTTTAATTTATTTTGCAGGAAAGATATCAAAAACATCGAGAGGAAGTCCTACAGTGTACAAGGGAAGGAACATCTACACAGGAGTCTCTTGCCTCAGTCAATGGAAATGAAATATATTTAGGTGTTGTAGGAGTTGAGAATGACAAAGGACATGTGTATGGACTATGGACTTGGTACTTTGAGAAAAAAGTTTAGTCAGTCAACACATGCTTAATATACTTTAAGTCAACCTCCAATGGTAGAGGCAATAGAGGGAATGCATCAAATAATTGACAAATTGAATGCTGAGCTTCTAGCAAAGGAAGATGAGAGGATGCTTGAGCAAAATATGGAACAATTAAAAAAAATCATGAGTTATAGATTTAGCACATGAGATAACAAAGTGAGCGTATGCATTAGCAAGATGAGAAGATGCAGTTAATCTTACGACACTTTTAGATTAACTCTCTTATGCCAGGGCCCAATATACTGACTACCACTCTAGATGATCCCAGACACCATGTTGAAGACGAGCAGGATGATCATGTTGATGATACACCGAAAGATTGTTGATTGAATGTGTATTTGTCTTTTATGATATCATATACTTGTTTTAGTTTTTACTATTAGTTATATGTTATATACTTCATTTTAGATGCTTTTAGTAAGTTGTGGTTTTGAAGAATTGTTTTGGTTTTTACTATTAGTAATATGTCATATACTTTTATTTTGGATATTTTATATTAGTTGTGGTTTAGAATACTTTATTTGAATTTTACTATTAGTTATTAGTTATGTCATTTTTATTTTGGATTCTTTTCATTAGTTGTGATTTTGAAGATTATATATGTTAATTAATTTTATTGTGATATTAGTACTATATATGCATTGTCAATTTTAGTACTATTGTTTATGACTATTAAATAAGTTTAGAGAAAATTAAAATAAATTTAGCGATCGATTCTTCTTCTCTAAAAATAAAACAAACTTAGTGACTGAATTTAGCGATCGACTCTTCTATCTCTAAAAATAAAACAAATTTAGCAATCAAATTTGGGACGGAATAAAACTTATAACGGTTGAATATGCGACAAAATATAACTCATCGTGACTAAAAAATGTGTCACTAATAATTTAGTGACGTGAATAACAATCAAATTTGCAACGCCTATAAATTTAATAAAAGAAAAAATAAATATTTAGTGATTGATTTAGAGACTAAACTGAAAATCGTATTTATTTAATTTATAAAAAAAAACATACTTAGCGACCGATTTAACGACATCTCATTTGGTCACCAATTTGGTCCTTATATACAACAGCGACTAAAATGATAACGACCATTTTGTGACCGAAATATTCGGTCTCTAAACAGTGACCGGTGATATTTTCATTGCGATCAAGTTTTTGCAACTACTTAAATTCGGTCGCTAATGTAAATAGCGACCGATTTGAGCAATTTAGCGGTTGATTTTGGTTATCACTAAATGACCTTTTTTTTGTAGTGAATTAGAACAAACTCTTGAAACACGATCATGCATCTCAACAAGCATGGTCATACTTAGTATCTAGGGCTTGCTTCATTAAATAGGAGCATAAGTGTGCTTAGGCATGACTAGGGTCTTCTTGATGTTCTAAGGAAGCACAATTGTGCATATTGATATGTACAGTCGTGCTTCATAGCATGACTATGCATAATGACATGCTTTATTTGAAGCGTGTTCGTGCAAAAACTAAGCATAATCATGCATGTCTTCAACCTTCAAAATTGTTTTGTTTTATTACTTAATTGTATTGATTTCATTCTTTTTATATTTTTCTTGTTTGATGTACACTTAATAAAAAAATATTTTCAAAATTTTAATATTAATTAAGACAAAACAATAATAAACATTAAATTATTATACATCATTTTGACAATTTAACACTAACTCATGATCCTTCTTACACACTAAAGTCAAACAAACCCAATTTCTCTCTAAGTCCAACATTTATGTGTAGGGGAAAATATTAGGGATGATAATTTCTCACTATCATTCACCCAATCATTTTAAACAAATCTTTTGCCATTGTCAAGCAACAATTACAATATCATAATATATATTTTTTTAATAAATAAATATAATTCACACAATATTTTAAAACTGAAATCTAAATATTAATCTATACTAATGAAACATGACTTGTACTAATCAAAGATACATCATCATAGTGTAATACGCAAATTAGAGTAACACCATAATTAAGATTCAACATTTCTAAAAAAAGGTGAAATGTAAATTAATAAAAATTTACTATGTTTAGTATATAAGAATAAAAAAAAAAACATATAACTTTTTTTGATATTGTTATAACTTATAAATAAGTGAGAATAAAACTTTCCTACCTTCATCGGTGAAAATATAAATTTATGTAATAACTAGTTATATACATTATTCTTAAGAAAGTTGAATAATATTAAAAATATTTATAAAAAATCTCATAAATATTATTTTTGAGAACAAAATCTTTCAAAGTGATTTAATTAGAAATGAATAAATGCTTGTTAAATAACCAGAATCTTTCAAATTGATTTAATTAGAAATGAACAAATGCATGTTAAATTAAGCTACCAACGGATTTAACGTTGAAAGTTGAAATAATATATCTACAATATCTTATCTTCGAATCGTATTAATTTCATTATAATCTTTCATACGAAGAAAAAAAGATATATTACCTAAATTGTTTTTTTAATTAAGTAGCTAAATTAATTAATAGTTATCAAAATTAAAGATTAAATTTACTTTTCCATAATATCAGAGACAAAATTAATTTATAATAAATATTAATTTTAAATACTAAATTGATATTTTACTTGTTTTAAAGGCAATAATGCTTTAAAGGCAATAATGCTATCTTAATTAAATATATGATTTTAATCCATCTTCCAATTATAATATTGATATAAAGTGTTTAAAATTAATATTTATTAAAAATTGTGAACGCATATAGAATAAATATTATTTTTTTAATAGAATCTATTTTATAATCAAGATTAAGTTTCAAACATTATATAATTTAGTTAAAAGACGCCGTCCACTATATATTATTTTTGATAATCAATGTTGGTAGATTTTTTTACATCTAGTCACTAATTAAAGCGTGTGTATATTGTATAGAGCTGAATGAATGGGTTTTAAATTGTGAATAAAGTCATCTCATCATTTGATGCGGCTTGAATACTTCAATTGCGTTAGGTGTCACGAATTATGTTAGCTCAAGAATAACCCCATTAAGAGAATTTTTCTCTTTTATTAATATGTAATTTTCTTTTGATTAATTCTATACTTATTTATTAAAGACACAATGTGCAATTCACTTTTATTCTATCCTATATTTCCTCCTCTGATAAAATTAGCACATACTGAATATATTTCAAATGAAGGGTGTTTTTGTCCAACTAGCGGATAATTTATATAGTTATAAGATTTAATTTATTTTTTTACTAAATAGTTTTAAGTTGCAAAGATATTTCATATTTGGAATATAGAAGTTGACAACAAAACTTAAAAAACAAAAGTATTTTGGTAAAAGTGGCGGAGGAGTGCAAAATGACATCAAATCATGTAAAATATTATAAGATAGCGGAAATAGCAATGAAAATCAAATACGTATTAGGTAATATTACGTATTAGTTAGAAACTTGTAAATTTAATTTTAAATGTTACATTAGGTCCATTAAAATGGGAATTTAATGACTATGCACTTGTAAAATCATTATTGTTTATGATTTTTAAGTAATTGTTGTAAAAGTTGATAATTTTATTATTATTGAGAAGAACTACTTTACCAAATTATTTTAATTTAATCAAACAAACTTTTAAGAATAAACCAAAAGCTAACCACAAACACACCCAAAATAATTTTATTTTATTTTTAAATAAAAGCCATTCGTGCACGTGATTTCTTCTTATACATAAACTGCTTTGCTAAGAAACTAAAATATGTGAGGATTTCCATATCTTTAGGGCAATGCATGCAAGATTAAAATGACTAGATAGTAGATAGGATAATATTAACATCGTGTCAAACAAAAAACAAAATGTAGAAAAGCAACAATGCACAGTCTAAAAGAAAAATGCATCAAGACTTATTAGTCTACATTGTAAAATGTAGACAATGTACCTCAAAATTATAAAGGATAACAATCCAGTATGAACAAGATAAATTATTTGAATCTCGCAAGTCTAAGCTTCTCCTGAAGTGGAGAATGATTAGGTTCTTAGAAACTGTATAGGCAGGTTCCATCATCACTTCTTGCAGTTGGGTCGAAGTTTTTGGCATTTGGATCAGTACAACCTTCAGGAACGGGAATATTTACTTGCTGGGCTGCTTTGCCTGCGCACAAAATGAAATAACCAAAGAATTTAGACCTAGTTTTATTTGATTGAAATATAATTTGTATGAGTTTATATTTGACAGTGTTCTTTTTTATTATATTTTGTCAAATTGTTAAAGGTTTAATGTAAAAACTTTTATTACATTATTAACATAGTTTAAGTGGGCAATACATTATTAGATTTTTAAAAATCTGATAAAAATTAAATGTGCATGGTGAGTGTTAAGTTGACTGAAAATTAAGCTATATGCAAACATCATAAATCAAAATCAAGTCCTGAGGATAAAAGATCAAACCGTAGAATGATCCACTCTTAATGGCATCTTGATTAGCATCACCAAGAGCAGCCTCGCTCAAGTACTTGTCTGCCAGCTGGACTCTCTTCACATTCTCTTGTTCTTGGACAAGCATGTTACCATACTCCAAGAGCTTAGCCAAAGTCATCTTGGGCTGGTCAAAGGTTGGAGGTCCTTCCTTTGAGTTCACAAGCTTCTTCCCAATCAAATCAACACCAACACCACTAATCCACTTCCTTACTTCATCATCGTATACTCTAGCCCTCAGTGCACCAAAGAAATCTGCAATCATAAATACCACAGCATTAGTCTTATTGTTTTGTTTCTATTTCCTTAAAAATTTCAATCATATCTGCTAGTAAACCCCCACCTTGTAATTATATCAATACAAAACTTAGATAAGTATTTTTGGTAATATTTTCTCATCAAAATTGGAATTTTACTTCCAATAATACATATTGACATTTAATAGTATCTTTTGTTACGGATATTATTGAGGTGAAAGCGAAGAATGACACTTATTAGCTTAACTTACCAATGGATTGGCCAGGGAAGGTGTCAACAAGCTTGACAATGTCATCACCAGGAACATTGTCACTGCGGAAAATTCCTTTGCAGACACCAATTCGGTCGTCCCTTGTAGGTGCCCAGTAGAACTTCTCCATACGTCCATCACGGATGAGAGGAGCATAGAGTGTTGAGAAATCGTTACCAGTGACAATGATGGGCACACGGGGGTTGTCTTCCTTGTTGTACATACCAGGGAGCTGAACATTTGTGGGGTTATCAGCGATGTTCATGAGGGTGGCATTCACCATCTGGTTGTTCACAGTGTATTGAGTGGTTCCACCAAGACGACCAGCTCCTGCGTCAAGATCATTGATGAAGAGACAGCACATCTTCCCCTTCTTGATTATGTCAGCAGCTTCACGGTACCTTTGCCTGATCAACTTTGCTGGCTCTCCTGCATTTCCACTTTCCAATTCTCCAGCACTCATCATGATAGGGCTATAAGCACAACAACATAAGAACTAGAAATTAATATATACCAGATAATACTCATTTTAATTTCTATGCAACGGTAGCAATGTCAACTAATCAAAACTCATTGTTGGCATGACTTTTAAAGTAATTATCGTAAAAATCAATGTATCTATCATATAGAGTTGCTAGTTCTGTAATGTGTATATATAAATGATGTGTTATGTAGTAGTAATATATGCAACATCTACTCACTTGATTCCCATCTTGGCAAAGACAAGCTCGCATTGGAAGGATTTTCCTTGACCTTTGCCTCCCCAGATACCAAGAATAAGAGGAATCTGTAAAAACAATGAGAATATTAAGTGTGTCCTATTTCATTAACTAAAGTCTCAAAGGACAATATTAGTGGGAATCATGTGTGCAATTTTACATGCCTTGATGTTGGGCAGGGTCATGAAGTTCTTGGTGATGTGAACAACAAGCTTGTCCATAAAAGCAGGAGCAATGTAAAATCCATCCATGTTGTTATCCAAGTTGTACCTGAAATACCACCATCATGACCAGGTTTAATTAGATCAAAAGGGACTTGACTTCACTCCTTTAACTCATGACAATAAAAGTGATAAGGAAACACTATCTGGCTTAGTGTCCCAAGTATGTGTCACTCACTGTTTAAGTCCCGTACTAAGGTACTCATAAGAGCTCATGATTGCATAGTGAGTTCCAGTTTCCATTGGAGCTTGGAAGAGGGAATCAACCATACCCTTCCCCCTTGTAATGTCTTGCTGGTCATCTGAAATATCATAGGCAAGACCCTTCCATCTGTCCTTATCAGTCTGCTGAGTCTCCTCAATCTCTTTGTCAGCAGCAACAATTTTGAAATTTCCAGAGGAAGAAACCTTGCTGCTAGGGACCCTTGAGGCAATAACCTTCTTCAAGCTGCTGCCAAAGAAGGCTGAACTGGGAACTGAAGCTCCAGCTCCAGAGCTATTTAAGCTCAGCTGCAATATTCACAGTATCTAATCTATCACAATGTTCAAACTAATTCTAAAACTTCACTCACTTGTCACAGTCTTCTTCCAATGTCCAAATCTGTTTTTATAATGACTCAACTATGAAATAACACCAGCCTTTGCTAATTTGGTATCATATATATTGATTATCACATTATATAACACATAATGAGTTTAGTATCAACATAAATGAGGAGTTAAAACTCCATAGATTTCTCTCTATATGTCTTATTCTTGAAATTTATGTTTATGGAAGTATACCAAACTCAGAGACTTTCTGACACGAAAAAACACACTTGTTAATTGTTATAGACATGTATATGAAATGAGAACTTGGAACTATTCTTAACTAGGATAAAGGTAGTGTCATAACTCATTATATATCTTTCAGAAATTTAAGCCATAATTTCCAACATAATTCTATTACCTTACATGTATTAATAACAATTTGAGGGTTTATATGTTGATAATTTAAGGACAAGAATAATTAATTAAAGTGCAAAGAGTAGAGAAACATCATACTGGGGCTCCGTTGACAGCTCCAACCGTGGAGACTGAGGCAGCCATTGCAGTGTTGTACTCGAAGTTGCAGTGGCAGAGCAAGCAAATAGAGTGCAAGTATTTTGAAGCTAGAAAAAATTACAATGGGGAAGGACTTATATTAGTGGTGCAATTGAGTGTACAGAAATGAATATCTTCAAGACTAGTTGTAGAATCCTTAATATCCACACGATGAAGATTAGCTTGGATGCCACGTGGCAACCATATAGTGACTGCAAGGTGGCACCTACCTATAGGCATAGATCCTGAGGTTGGAATTGAATTGAAGCCTTTTCCTGATCCATTACTTTTTAGGTGAATTTGTTACCACACGTAGCTTGTAGCATCCATCTCATCTGGTTCAAGCGTTGGCTAGTGTTCGTTTGACTAGAACAGAAGTGTTGACCAACAGTATCAATTGGTCAATTACATAAAAATCTGGGCTACCATTTAATTTGGATTTTTAGCACACTAACCCCACACATATGTAGTTTTTATGAAATAATGTCAAAAAATAATTGGGGGAATTGTATTAATAAAAACCATAATTAACGATATATTTTTTTAAATAATTATATTATTAATGTGAAATATTCGTCATTTATAATTAATTATTATAAAAAATATAGTTAATTATCTCTAATTAAATCTTTCCAATCAGTTATGTTTTTTTATATGCACTACTCAAATTTAAAACATCATTTAATAAGACCAAGTTTAATTGTATTAAAATAATATTTAATTAACAAAAATTATATCTAAAAAATGTAAATTATTTTTTAATTATTAATTTTAAAATATTACATAAATTATATCGATTTAAAAAATAACATTTAACTACTTGTGTGAAGATTGAGACGATGTGATGACCTCTCCATTCCCAATTCGAAAGGGAACCATTGGGCAATGGCCACAACGATGCACGCATGATGCCATATACGACACTCAGACACGCTTTCTATCATTTCATCAAGTTCCTCTCAAAATTGGGTTACCTTGTAGAATAATGTTTATCATCTCCCTTTATTTTCTTTTAATCTAATAAAAATATAGGTTAATAACTAAATACATTTTTCAAATTTCTCTCAAATTAGTTTGCTTCAGTTATGGATTGCAAATAAATAATTAAATAAGTATTCACTTATAATCAAACAATAGATAAGTAATAAGGTATTTATACATGTAGATATTTATACTTTAAAATTATTAAAAATATTTTTAATTATATTATGATTATAAGTGGGTTAGTTTGAACTGAGTTTATATGAATCTGTTATCCAACCAAGTTAAAATTCAAAAGTTTAAGTTGGATTGGATTTGTGTTTTTTTTTTTTTTTAAATTACAAACAAGTTGTTGATTTGCTACATTGTCATTAACTCAAACAATCAACATTAATAAAAAAATAAAATTTAAAATAAATATGTTATATTGTTACAATGTTATAAAAATAAAATACAACATTCATTACTTAGCTCATACATTACAGGATTTTGATCAAGATCGAGTTAGGTTAGATCATATGTCAAAAAACACAAAATTCATTACTTAGTTCATACATTATAGGATTTTGATCAAGTTGGATTGAGGGTGACCTAAATACTAAAAAAATCTTATCTGAATTCATTAAGTCTGTTTGAGTCAATTTGATTAAAATATGTCTCGTGGTTAATAATGTCATAAAATTATTAAAATATCTAATGATAATTATAAGTATTCATATTTATAATTAACTATGAGTAGAGATAGCAAATCAATTCGCACCATAAATATATGCAAATAAAACTCGTGATGAATAAAAAAGGGTAACTTTAATAATTGCTTGCGAGTAACAAATATGAATATTTTTCCTAATTTCTTTTTAACGAAGTGAATATCATAATATTCATATCTATGTATACATATACATGTATCCATTAATTTTAAATTACATAACTAGTTTTACACACACATATACATATATATATACATACATATATATATATATAAGGGGGTTATAATTACACCGGTGTAACTTTTACTAAATATTACACCGCTTAATAACTTTATATTAATTGTGAATTTTGTATATCCAGTCGTTAGATTGAAAGTTCATATCACTTTATACGTGTATATCAAATTTTGTTAAAATTGAACAACTTGAAGGCAATCAAAGTGTTCATATTTTAATGTATTTTGAAATAAATATATCACGTCAATTTTTTTTTTATAAAAATGAAGTATCAAATCATCTTGGATTAGTATAAAATTTTGTATATATGATCTAGTAGATATGAACTTTTAATCTAACGATTAGATTTACAAAATTCAAATTTAATATAAAGTTATTGAGCGGTGTAATACTTAGTAAAAGTTATACCGGTGTTATTAATATATAGATATAAAGGGAGTTATAATAACACTAGTGTAACTTTTACTAAGTATTACACCGTTCAATAACTTTATATTAAATGTGAATTTTGTAAATCCAACAGTTAGATTGAAAGTTCATATCTATTAGATCATATATATAAAATTTTATACTAATCCAAGATGATTTGATACTTCATTTTTATAAAACAAAATTGACGTAATATATTAATTTCAAAATACATTAAAATATGAACACTTTGATTACCTTCAAGTTGTTGTTCAATTTTAACAAAATTTGATATACACGTATAAAGTGATATGAATTTTCAATCTAACGGTTGGATTTACAAAATTCACATTTAATATAAAGTTATTGAGCGGTGTAATACTTAGTAAAAGTTACACCGGTGTAATTATAACCCCTCTCAACATATATCAAATTTTGTTAAAATTGAACAACAACCTGAAGGTAATCAAAGTGTTCATATTTTAGTGTATTTTGAAATAAATATATTACGTCAATTTTTTTTTATAAAAATGAAATATCAAATCATATTGGATTAATATAAAATTTTGTATATATGATCTAAGAGATATGAACTTTCAATCTAACAGTTGGATTTACAAAATTCACATTTAATATAAAGTTATTGAGCGGTGTAATACTTAGTAAAAGTTACACCGGTGTAATTATAACCCCATAATATATATATATATATATATATATATATATATATATTTAAGTAAGGTGCTCTACTTTTGAATAGTCTTTTTTTTTATTGATATTTGACAAACAAGACTTGTGATACTGAAATGTTTTAATTTATTGAAATTTGTTTGGAGTTGTCAGATTTAAGTGTTTTATTTTTTAAATTGACGTATTTTGATTAGAGTCTGTTTGACCCTATTTATTTTAAGCTTAATTTTTACTTGTAAAAGTTGATTCAAACGTATTTGTATAAAATATCTTAAAAATAAGTAACTTATTATTTGTGAAGAAATAATAAATTAAATCATGAAGTTTTTGGAGAAACTAACTCAATAAGCTTAAATGAAACTTTTTTTTGTTAGTATCTTAACTCAAGCCACTCCGCTTGTTATTTGTATGCATTTTGTTTTATTTTGTTGCAAGTTTAAAAACACTTGTTCTATATTTTTAATGTATTCTAATTTTATTGAATTTTACATATAAGAATCAAATCAAAACTTACAATTTTAATTACCATTTAGGTTTTAAATATATTTAAAAAAATTAATAATGTTAGAGTTATTAGAATATTTAAATGATATAATTAAAAATGATTGTTTGTGAGGGTGGGGAGGATGAGTGGATAATTCCCAAGGTGACTATTATAACTTTTCTTGTATCTATCAAGAGAGGGTGAGAATGTAACTTGACAAAGAAGGTGGCACGCTTCAAGAGATAGCGACGATGATTGATGCATTATGCATATGATAGAGAAAGACAATTTCATCGTTAAACTCGAAAGCCCAAAGTTATTCATCCACCAATTCATAGCTCAAAAAAGTTCACAGTCTTGAAGTGACAGAAACCAGAAAGTTATGCAAGAGTTCATGCCATTGTCTCCCAACTCATTCTTCCACCTTTCTTAATTTCTCCCTATGTCAACCTTCCACCTTTAGCAAGAAACTATTACATGACTTAGAACTATAAATTAATTGTTTATATTTTCAAACAATTTCAACGTGTTTAGGCTATATTTCATGTAGAAATTTACTATAAGACTGGGAGCATAACATAACATGTAATAGTCTTGAACTACACTAATTTTTTCCTTCTAGCACAGCATTACAACAGCCACCAAAAGAACAGAGAAAAAGAGCTCGTATTATATTTTAATCTGTTTTAATTTCTTGGGTCTGAAAGAGTCAGAAAAAAGCCTCGAAGGAATAACAGGTAACAATGGATTGGTCTAACACACCTCAAACCATAGTTTAAGTGGCCAACAGCTAAACCTGAATTATGGTGAGGATTAAAATATGCATTCATAGAACAAGTGGCATACAAATGAGATATTAAATTGGTCGAATTAAAGGGCCATTAACAATATCCAGACAAAAGGCCGCAATGAGTCATGAACGCTATGCTAGAAACTAGATCACCTAAAGCATGCATTATAACTCAAACTCACAAATCCATTGTGTTAATTACTTTTTTACCAACCCCAAAAAATGATGATGATTGGATATTCAATCAGGGAAGAAACTTTACGAATAAAAGCCCTTTTGATGCATAAAAGAGGAAATTTTTTCCCTAATTGACAAGGACAATGTAGGCCACAGAAGAGACCCAAAAGAAGAACATACTTAATTTAAAGTAAACTCAAGTAAGAATCATGTCCCTTGGACACGGCAAAAGTAACTTAACCTCCCAGGTGATGGCTATAAAGGTTCGAATCTTAGACAAAATTATTGCAAGTCTTATACTACACAAATCATTAACATAAAATCAGTAAAAACTTGGGACAATGACAGGGCTTGGCTCATCATGTGGAGCATGCAAGTTCCTAAGGAGAAAATGCGCCACTGATTGTGTATTCGCTCCTTACTTCTCCTACGACCAAGCCTCAACCCATTTTGCAGCAGTGCACAAAATTTACGGTGCTAGTAACGTCTCCAGGCTATTGTCACATCTTCCAATCCAGAATAGAAGTGATGCTGCCATCACCATTTCTTATGAAGCCTTGGCTCGCATGCAGGATCCTATATATGGCTGTGTTGCTCATATCTATGCATTGCAGCAACAGGTTTCCCATGCTGTGACTCTAAACCTGCTTTTTCCCACCATAATTTAGAGATCTCAATTCCTTTCGGTAGAATTTTCACTTTTCATGCATTCAACAATTTGAAAGTATCAGATGAAGAATAAATGACTCATATTTTATATAGTATGAATTATCTTCTTCATCCAACAATTATGAATGCAAGGACTACTTATGTGTAAAAAAAATGTTAATAATACACCTTTTAACATAAACTTTTGAATATAAACTCTTTTGTTTGATTGAAATTTATTGAAAATCATGAGAATCATTAAATAAGGTATGAAACTCTCAAATTTTTGCAATATTCAATAAAATTCAGCTAATACAAGAGAGTGAGTTACTAGTATTTCTCGTATACAGAAAAGCAATGACTCTGAATCCGGTTTGATAATTTACATAATTTGTGTTTCATTTGTAACTCAAACTTTATGTGCAGGTTGCCAGCTTACAAGAGGAGATAGATACTCTTGGTAGTCTAATGACAAATTCCACAATCAGTGTTGTCAATTGTGACAGTGTCCAAGCACCAAAGACAATAAGTACGTACATAGCAAAACTGTTGTTAACTTTTATAATCTTTTATAATATTTATTTAACAGTTTTCTTATTTTTGTAATAATATTATCAACTAAAGAACTCAAACAACGGAACACAATATAATATTTTGCAGCATGATGCTACAAGGACACAATATTGTCAAAATAATTATCTGGCAAATTTTCTGTCACAAGAAGGAAGTGCCACAGTTTACCAAAGTTTTGACTCACAGATGGATATGGAGCTTCCTAGTGCACACGTGGAAGAACCTTCATTTGGTGATTCCTACTACAATAATCCGTTAGAACAGTTCCTATCTGGAATTGACCAAGAGGTCTTCATGAATCATCCATGGTTCAAGCATAATGCAGACATAAAGAACTAGGAATATTGAAAAAGATGTGACTAGACTTTACTTGGTGCAGGATGATTGCATGAAAATCAACTTTTGTGTCATATATTTTACAATATAATATGTAAGAGTGTCAGATTAATGCTACTCTCCCGCAATCATTTATACTAAAATAATCACAATTAAATGTTTAACAAATCAACGGACTAAAAAGTGTAAATCCAGATGTAAAATTTTGTAATTAAAATGATGGGAGAATCATTACTCAATAACTAATTGCACGTATCTGGTAAAGATTTTTTTTTTCTTTCCAAAAGCTCTCTCCAGAAACTTAAAGTAAGATACATAGTGCATATTTGGATATCCATTTGCACATTTACAAACTGAAATTCCTTCTTCCCAATACACTAAAATAGAAAGTTTAAGGTAAGTTTGGTGAGTTTAAACAATAAACCAAACACAGATAGTAGTATTATTTTAAACCAAACATGCACTGCGAGCAATTTTTCTTCATCTATCATTACTCAACAGCCTACTCAATACGCAGATAAACACTAAACCACAGGCATGCAGCTCTATGCAATTAATTTCAAACTAGGAAAGAATACTTGATAAATGAAGTTTCATTATCCGAGTATAGGAATCAAGTGAGAATTGGTTCAGTACCTAGATCAAATGGAACTTTTGGGTTCTATCGAGGAATTAAATAATTATACTATTTGCGACAAAGGCCTTTTGTTAGTGGATCTTTTTCTGCCTTTTTATCATTTGGTTGAACTATTAGATATCTTCATTTTAAACTTCAGACTTATAATTCCTACACGTAAAAACAAAGTTTTGGTCCTGTCAATGACGGATCCAAAACCCTGACAGTGGAATTATCATCATCTATAACATCTATAATTTATAACATTAATAAAGGGATGTATTATTTTAGTATCCACTTTTTTTAGGCTTCTTTTTTATCTTTATACTTTTAAATAATAAAAAATAATATTAAAAATTAATTATTCTTTAAGTTTGAATAATATACTAATTGATTTATTAAACATTAGTAATTTTTAAACATTTTTATCAAATAAAATATTGAAACAAAACGTATATCTATCCCTCTAATTTTCAAACTACTATCTTTTTTTTTTTGCTCTTGTTTTTCTCGTTGTTTTCGTCTCTGTTCCCCCTTTTCTCTCTCCCCTGCCCTTTTATAATTGCTAGAATTAAAACAGAGTAGGCAGGAAAGAGAAGAATCCGCTCAGCGCCTTGAAACGGCTGAGCGGTTTGAAGAATTCTTCACCATGAAGTAATCTGAATGGCTGAGCCATTCAAATCCGCTGAGCGCCTGAGAGATTCTTCATTGTTAAGCAAGCACAAGGGGCTGGGCGCTTCATATCCGCTCAGCGCCTAGGAGGCAGAGAGCACTCCTTCTTCCAGGGCCAAATCCGCTCAGCGCCTTATAGTGGCTGAGCGCCTCTCTTTTGCTGCATTTGTTGAGCTCTCTGGCTTGAAGGCGCTCAGCCGTTTCAAGGCGCTCAGCCGTTTGCCTCCAGATTTCAAAACCTACAAAATAACACAAAATTTGATCAAAAGATTCATCGCTTCATGTACTAACATAAATCAAAAGTCCCTATTTGATTCTAAGTATTTATAAACCAAAATTATATCAATATGTACAAAATTTGTGCTAGATAAGTGTCTCAAATTCATATTTAATCAGATTAGTTAGACACTTATCAATATGTTGCAACTCAAACCGCAAGGCAATATAACCCCTTACTTCCCATAAAAGATTACCAAAGGAATTCTAACCTGTTTACAAATTACAATGCTAGGATACACACTTGATACAAGAAATAGGATCTATAAGCCAATTAACATACAATAATTGATCCCTATTTAAATCCACACACAACCATTTCCAAGATCGATATTTAATGGCCTAAAAAATTTCCATTATATCCAGCATCCTATTATTAAAAACAATACGGTTCCTATGAAGTCATAAACTCCATATAACATAAATCCAAATAGTTGTGAATATCCTTCTCTGCTTCTTCCCAAATGCAAATCCACCCATACTTAACAATAATTCATCCAAAGCATTAGGTAAGCACGTTGAAATACCAAGCCAATGAAGGACCAAGTACCAGATTTTACATGAAATTCTGCAGTGGAAAAAAAGATGACATACGTTCTCTGCCTCATTATTACATAAAGCGCAAAAATCATTAATAACAGGAATACCACACCTTGCTAAACTTGCTCGAACTGGTAGCGAATTCAACAATAATTGTCATGCAAAAACAATTGCTTTCTTTGGAGCTTTTGCCTTCCAAATGCATCAAAAACTTTGTTTTAAAACCGTCTCCAAAACATTCCCTGCAGAAAAAAAGGAATGCAACCAAATATCAGCTGATTTAGCAGTAAAAGCCTTTGATGGATCACATTTCCATAGCCACATATCGGGTATATTTAACCGCAACTCCACCCCACCAACTAATTCTCCTAATTTATTTTCCAATTCTCTTTCCCGTTGAAGTATCAAACGTCTCCGCCACTGAAATTCCCACTGCCACCCTCCTTCCACAAACAATCCATTTTCACCAACTGTTGATTGTTTGTTTGCCGCCAAAGAGTACAAATGAGGAAAAATCTCACTTAAAATAACCCCGCCCACCCATCTATCATGCCAAAAAAGCACCGAATCTCCATCTCCAACGACTCTCAAAAGGTTGTTGTCCAACCATGCATTCGCTTGATGACACACGAGGGCCAAATCCTTCCACCAATCTGAAACTTTTGGATCAACCACATGAGACCTCAAAAGAATAAACATACTACCATAACGTGATGATAAAGTTTGAGACTTAGGACTTTTCAAACCCCGCCACACCCATTTTCCCAATAAGCTTATATTAAACCATTCAATATTCTTCACCCCCCAATCCTCCCTCCTTTGTAGGCTTGCAGACTTGATCCCACCTAACCCAACAAATTTTAGAATTCTCCTTCACACCATTCCAAAGGAATCTTCGTTGAATCTTTATAACCTCTTTAATAACCCCTAGAGGCATTCTCCAAAAAGATAAATAATGTAATGGGAGGCTATTCAATACAGAATTGATAAGCGTCACTCTACCCCCAATAGATACATACTTGTGCTTCCAAGACACCAATTTATTTCTCAAAACCTCTATAAGTCGCTGCCACACTGCCCTTTGTCTAGGCTTATCACCTACATACAACCCCAAATAACAAAATGGAAATGCACCCACCTTACAATTTAAAAAACTAGAGGCCATATGCATAAAATTATTATCCACATTCAGCCCCATTAAACAACTCTTATGAAAGTTTATCTTCAACCCCGATATCAATTCAAAACACCTCAAAACTGCCTTAATCGACCATAAATTCCTTTCTGTGGCTTCCCCTATTAACAAAGTATCATCTACAAATCGGAGCAAGGAGATTTTTGGACCCTCCCCCACCTTTACCCCTTTAAATAAACCTTTTGATATTGCACTTCTCATCAATGCTCCTAAGCCCTCTACAACAACAAGAAACAAAAAAAGTGATAATGAATTGCCTTGCTTTAGACCTCTCCCTATTGCTGCTTCCTTCGTAGGACTCCCATTAATAAGTATTGATAAATGTCCACCACATATACAAGCCTCCATCCATTTCACCCATTTCTCACCAAAACCTAACTTTCGTAACATATATATTAAAAACCTCCAATCAACTGAATCGTACGCTTTCTCGAAATTTACTTTCAACACAAAACATTTCCTTCTTGCCTTTTTTACATAATCCACCACCTCATTAACAACCAAAACACTATCAAACACATTCCTTCTCGGGACAAAGGATGCTTGTTGTTCATTAATAATCTCCTCCATAACCCTCTTCATCCTATTTGCAAGTAACTTTGAGATGATTTTATAAAGACAACCCAATAATGAAATTGGCTGAAATTCCCTACCCCTTGAGGACTCTTATTCTTAGGTATCAATGCTACAAAATAAGAGAGCAAGCCTTTCGGAATCAAAGCATTCATATGAAACTCCACTAGCATCTTCATGACATCATTTTGCACAAGATTCCAAAAAGCTTTAACAAAAGAAAAATTAAAATCATCGGGCCCTGGGCTCTTTTCACCAACACAATCTATAATCATATCTGTGACTTCCTCTAAAGAAAATGCAACTTCTAACCCAACCTTATTTTCTTCTGATAATATGGGCATCACAATTTTATCTATCGACGATCTATTCCACTCCCTCGATGTAAAGTGAACCCGAAAAAAATTCAAAATATAAGCCTTAATTTTTTCAACCTCCTCCATCCACCTCCCATCAACATGTAAAGTCAATATTTGATTATGGCTCCTACGTCCATGTATACATGCATGAAAGTATCTGGAATTTAAATCTCCACAAGTCAACCATTTTTTCCTTGCCTTCTGAGCTAATAACTGTTCCTTATGACTTCGTGCCTCCCATATAGATGCTACCAATTCTTTTTGTTTAATCCCGTCCTCTACTGTTAGTCCCTGTATTTCATTTTTCTCATCTAATGCAACCAGTTCTGTTGTACAAACCTGAATATTAGAGTCCACATCTCCAAAAACATCTCTATTCCACACCTTTAAAGCTGACTTAACATTTGATAATTTTTGTTACAACCTTTGCACTGCCCAATGCTTTTGTACCCCCTCCTCCCATGCTTTAATCACAACCTCCCTCAAATCCTTATGCTCCAACCAAACATTGTTAAATCGAAAAGGCTTAGGGCCCCAACTTTTTACTTTATGCTTAAGCAATAAAGCACAATGGTCAGACACATCCCGTGGCATAACCTATACTACATCATTCTCCCACACATCGCACCAATCCTCTGATACAAGCACCCTATCCAATCTACTCACAATGGTCGGTCCGTCTCTTGAGACTTTGACTATATTAAAACTATTCATTCTAGAAATAGAGATTTAAGGACTAATCACAATATCAATTACATCGACTCATATTAGT